GGGATTCAGTTCCTACATTGAGTCAGTTTATCATCTCCTTTTTAGACCGGTGCTCAGGGACAGGCGACTGCAAGCATGGAGGTTACCCCCATCCAAGTCACTGTAACGAATGTCTCTGCCCAAACGGACTTTCTGGTGCAAAATGTGAAGACTTCGAACCACCGAGAAGTACGTTGCGATTTCGAGATCATTTTGGTTCACGAGGTCATTCTCAACCAGCAGTTCCCATACAGAAGCGGAGTGTGGCGGAAAAATTACTGTAAGCGAAGAGTGGCAGTCTATTGAATCGCCGGGATTTCCTGATCCAGGCTACGATCCCGATCAGAAGTGCAACTGGGTCTTCGAGGTTCGTTGACTGCTACTGAGCAATTCTAAACAAAAAGTGAGATCGAGAGTGAAGCGAGGTAGAGTACGTGAACTCCGTGATTTAGGCATCCGCAGGCAAACGAATTGAATTTGAATTTATCGAAGAATTCTCTTCCTGTGCACATCAACCTGTGTGGACTATGTGGAAATGAAAATCTCAGCCGATCTTCGCCCAACTGGATTCAGGTCAGCTCTCCTTCTCTCCATACAGTGAAGGAATTAAAGTTTACGGAAGATGACATGCAAATAGCGAGAATCGTTGCTAATCGAAGGTCATTTCTGGCGTCAGTTAAGATCCACAGGATTTCCGTGTCAATTTCTAAGCGATGTTGTGACATCTAATCCTTTTGCTCCTCTGCGTCTCCTTCACAAGGCCAGACACCAGACACTAAGGCCCAAACTTTTGCCACAGGTTAAGTGGCTCACACACCCCTCCCTCCCCCTGAATTGGCCCCATTCCCCCTGGCTCACGTATTCTCAACTTACACCTGGTTCCCTGCCCCACCAAAAGGATTAGATGTGATATAATCATTTTTATACTGAAATACTGCTATTATCCTAGCTTGAGCTGGATAGGCAGGTTAAGATTTAGGTGCGGCCAATGGCGATGGCTCTTCAAAAAACCTTGGGACCGGTCGTGCTTAGATGTATTTGATCTCTGTGAAAAACATTCAGTTTTGCCTCATGGCTTCTATATGAAAAACGGTTGGCTACTCAGCTCTCCTAAGTACTTAAAGGCAGTGATCACGATGGCTGGAGGGCAGTGCTTGTGATGAGGTCGTTAAAAGTGATAGGTGGAAGGGTGTTAGGAGTACACATTCAGCGCGCTGACAGGCCTACTTCATCAGTGAGCTCAATGACGTCGTAAAAACCACACCGCCCCTCAGCTGTCGTGATCAGTGCCTAAGGCAAGGGTCGAGTTTGGTTTCACTGAAAGCCCCCCACTTAGAGGTCTAACCATAGTCCACAAACACAAGCGGCCGCTATTCATTTTCGTGCTTACGCATACGCGCCATCAATGAACACTAGGCTTTATACCTCGACAATGCCTCACACACTCAGAAAGATCCGTGTCCCGCCCATATTTCGATATTTTATCCGTGTTGTTATTTTGAACGCTGGCATGTTTCTCGACTCGGACTTCTTTCCTTTCTCCACGACCCAGATTCCTCTCTTGTTTTGCTGCCTGCTTTTGAACTTCTCCGCAGCGTAGAACAAAGAAACGTATCTCCTTCATTGGCTATTTCCTGCCCTTTTTTCCACTTGTGGTTCGCTATGCATCCCTACTTCCACATTCGGGAACAGCTGCCACATCAACTCGATTTTGCTTAGCCTGCAAATTCCAATCAGCCGGTCTGATTTTCCGTGAGAGAAGAATGCATTCTGCGTGGCGCATTTCACAGAGACCAGTAACTGTAAAGGATTCCAAGATTTCCATATAGCAAGCTGTGGAATAATGCTGCTTTTATGGCAAATTGTTTATGCAACAGACTAGACTGAATCTTTGATCTTTTTGTCGCTGCGCTGTCAATCCAATTTGCAATTTTATCGCTTTCAATTTATTTTATTGGCGTATGGCTACGTCCATCACTCTTTTGTAGTGCGTACCATGCAACTGACCCACCAGAACCCATGCGGAATCATGAAACGTTAAATTTGCAGCAGCTCTATTCACATATAAAGCCAGTCGATCTTATTTCAAGTCTCCTACAATTCGAGCTGTCTTTTCCAGCCGGGTATTTTTCTGACTTTACGAGCCGTGAAAGGTAATGTGTCGCCATCCTCCCTTCCCACAGGTCGCGATTCCTTCGTCTCTACCTCTTCGCGATGAACTGGGAATACAGGCGTTTGGCATTAGGCATTAACTACCTGGTTTGCTGCAAAAAACTATGCGTTCCTGAAAATCACGGCGCAGTGTTTACTTTTCGACGCTTAAAAAACGATCTTGAAGCGATTCATTGAGTTATTAACCTTCCACACGCGCCTTCTCATTATCGTGCTCAAGGATCAAGATTTTGGCGCAAAAAGGACGTAGAAATAACTGAGCCTTAATGAAAAGAGCTCTATCTGGTAAGGAAAAGAAAAAAACACGCAGCATGAGCTTAAGAAGCGTTTCAGAGTAGGCGGATACGATGTGTATGCGATCGGCGAGTATTCAAGAAGGTTAGGGATACAAATCGATTGCAATTAGGAGGGTAGGCGATTAGGCAAGTAGGCGATTAGACGATTGCTCATGAGCAGAGCAAGACAGATATCAATATGTATCATTTTCTCAGCTAGCATGCCTAATTCGCCCACTCGCCTGATCGCCTACTCGCCACCCGCTTGATCGCCTAATCGCCCAATCGCCTAATCGCATGCTCGATCGCCAACTCTGAGCGCTGCCTTAGTTATCTCGATAAATGGACTTTTTCTGCACCCATCGAATTCTGAGCGTAAAATTTAGGTATATGCGCTCTAAATAATTTCAATAACTACACAAGAGAGCCCTCCCTGAGCTTTCCCGTGGAATTTTTTGGTGGAACACGGAGAGTTAAAGCTCTGGAAACCCCTCCGTGTAGATGTCGCAGTCAACGCGAAAGTCAACTATCCACAGCTCGAATGCAACGCTTTTAATACGAAAGAAAAACAAGGCAAAGTTTGCTTTTGTATGACACCGTTGAAAAACCTCTTGCTAAGAAAATTCAGGAAAATTTCGAGACTCTGGGACGAGAGTTCTTCCGTATTCACGTTATAGCCCTGACCTCGTGGCAAATAATGCCCTTCTGCTCCCTCTCTCCAAACCATCTCCTAGAGAAGAAAGCTCATCCTAACTATGATGATGTCAAAATCGACATCTGATCTTTCTTCGATCAGAATTCAGTAGAGTCCTACAAGGGAGGCATCGAGCAGCTACTAGTGTGTTGGCAATAGGTTGTAGATATTGATGGAGGGTAGCATGCCGGATGAATGGAACAAAAAGATAATGAAAATATTAAATTCAAAATTCGGCCAGTTTGTTGCAAGACTTATGGACCGACCTAATATTTATTTATCTTATTCTATCATGTACTCAAGGTGCACATCAGAAAATACAACAATCTTAATATAACACAGAGCTTACACAATATCCATTGATCTTCGAATTGTACTTGTAGATGGTGCTGCTACAACATGCCTCAGGGCTCGTTCGTCTCCGAAGTCAACATCGCAGTGATTATTTCCGATCACAACTCAGTAATGACGTCGGTTTCAAGCTGCAAGCACGAGCCAGTAGGTTTAACCCTTTCTAGGCGTCTCTCCAAAGTATGACCACGTTCTTTTCAGCTGATCTTCCCTGCCAGGACAACACCGGCTCCAGTAATCGCGACGAACTACACGTTTGTTTTCCAGCATGAGATAAGCTTATTGGCACATATAAGTCCCCCTATTTAGCTGTGCCAACGACCATAGCCGGAACGGATATGTGGGCCGAATGGGGACCATGGTCACAGTGCTCGCGCAGTTGTGGCGGATGTGGCATTATGTCCCGAGTTCGAGTTTGCCGTACGAAGAAATGCACGTAAGTACGGTATCCTTCTCTCCTCATGCAGTAGGTACACTTATCCCCTTACCCTAGACGTGTGGTAGCTGAAACACAATGAGAGCATCCTAATGCAGACTGAAATTTGATCTGAAGAAACGGACGCTTATGAATGAGCGCTCGTTTCGGCCAACACCCCTCCCCCGTTCGCGAGCCCCTGTTTGCGTGTAATTTCCGTGGAATCCCGACCACCTCTGTGATGAAAATCGGCGATAAGCGGAAAACAAAACATTTCAATCGACACGCGCTGGAATCCGGATGGCTGACCAATGATCAGACACAGCTGTTTTAGTATAATGCAGATTTCCATTCCGCAACATAACGAGTTCAGTTTGTCCTCGTACACGGTGGGAAAATTTGCTAATCTTTCGCCGAAGCGAACACTATTTACACAAAGCATTTGTGATTGAGAAACAATAGAAGGCATCCGCAAAACCTGATCGCAAAATGCCAATATCGCACATGAAATGTGATTTTACAGACATAGCTGCTAGGTGGGTAAAGGCAGTGCGGGGGGGGGGGGTGGGAAGATCGGCCTCGGAAGATTAAGACAAAGAATGCGAGATAGAGAGAGGTGTGATAATGAAAAATGGCGCAAACTCAGCTGTCTGAGGCAGGACCACTATAAGAGTGGATCTGACGAGGAGGACTTGTCGAACGACCGTGAGAAGGTACTACGTGCCTTGTCATGCTTCACGGAATGCATCGCCCCTTTCTGCACACCCTTCCAATACTTATGATATAAGCAACACCTTCAGCAGGAGTCGTGTGGAAAACCTTTTCAGCTGGTAGGATAGAATAGCGCACAAGTAGCCGATGTGTCGTTGTCGCGGCTCGAAAATTGCGGCAGGGAATGTTGCTGGGGTCTTAAAGTGAGCTTAGACGCTCCGTGAGCCACATGGACGAGATATCTCGCGCACCGAACCCATAAGCACCAGCGTCAGATACGATCGCGCTAATTCAAATAAGCGCGGGTTCTTGAGGCGTAGAGCAGGCAAGTCCGCACAACTCGTCCAGCCCCACCCCTTTCTTTTTCCAAGAGGAATCCTTGTTTAGGGCTTCATCAACGGATTTCCTTGCTTTTTTTCATTTTTTGTCCGTAATAACTTCGTATAGCATACATTATACGAAGTTATTAATCAACGCTGTGCCCCGCACAAATTTGGATCTGGGATGCTGAATCCACTTCAAGTGTAATATCATTTACTTTTTGGGAGACTTCCCCTTCCTTGTACCTCTGCATCTTTCTTCAATTAAACTGTTTTCGATGGGTTTTACACCAGCATTAAGAGAAATGAGATACTTGTACACCAAAAGAAACTCCCCCTCCCTCCCATTGATCGATAGCACAAAGGGCGCCGAAACATCGCGAGACGTTCTGAGAGCGAAGGTTTGACTAACAAAAAACCGCATGCACGTAAGTTCAGAAATCCAGTAATGGAGACCTTTCCCTGAAGACAATCCCATCCATAAACCGATTTCAGAGCTATTTTGAAGTAAAAATGGCAGATGAAACAGAAACCCACAGGAAAAATCGATGCTGGATTTTTCAGGTCTTCGTTAAAAGTCAAAAGGCTGACGTCGCGTTGCCGTATAAAATTGAGAGCCCTCCCCCTACCTCCTTTGGCCTAAAATTTGAGAACTTTCAAAAAAATATTTGATCGTACAAGCAAAAAGTGTCTGCATTGGGATGGGCACCAACTTAACCGCCACCACTATCAAAACGCTGGAGTGAAAACAGATCAAAGACGTGGACATGGAAATGGAGAATGATTTCAAAGGGGCATTTGCGGTTGAAAAGACAGCATTGCAGAAATCCAAGATAGATTGACGCAGTTGGCAGAGATGAAAAAAAACCGGAGAACAGGCCCTTGCCGCCGTTGATTTGCAGCCTTATGCAGCCTGTCCCATCGTGCTAACCTCATCAACGCGCTAACGCTCTCTCTGCCAAAATGGCTGAATGGTCAAGCTATCAAGGCAGTCCCAAAGATCTTCCTCGATTCTTTCCCACTAGGCAGTAGAGCCGCTACGAGCATCTTCATTCTGAGCATCAATTGACAGACGAGGCGGAGGAGTGGGAGGAGGGGGGACAGTGAGCGCGGACATGGGCACGGTTCTGAGGGGCCCGCCTGCTTTTTATGTTTCCTTCTTCGACCTCCGTCCTTATTGCAGAATCCTATCCTAATTATCCCCTTGGCAATAGACTTATGATTAGCATTCAACTCTTCCTTACAAAGCCTAGAAGACGTATCCCGTAGGAATTAAATTTTCTAACATTTTTTACGGCCCAAAAACAAATTATGAGTGGCTGCACCACGTAAAAGGCGTACTCAATTCAAGATGCTGTCAGTTCTAGCGTAACCTCGATCCTTCCACTCTGTAAAAAAGCACCCTGCGAACACTGGTTCAGAAGTGCCGACTGTTCATGATTGAGCACGAGCGATCCCAACCGCTTGAGAAAGACAAACATTCACCTTTCACCAAAGCGCCGATCCGCACAACCAGTGAAAAACACGACCGTATGCTATTTACAGAGGCCGTCGGCAGGAGTTCAGCACGTGCAACTTGATGGCGTGTCCTATTGATAAGCACTGCGCTAAACTGCTTACCAACGACAAGATCTGTGACGGAAGAGTTTGTACTAAGTACGTGATATAATTTGAGGACTACAGAACTTATTGAAACATGTCACATTCCAGGGCCTCACAAGCGTTATCGGGATGTTTGGAGCCTCAGTGCTGTCCACCTTTCATCAATGTGGACGGCACCTGCCAAAGTGACTCACCGCTTGTAAACGATTTCACCCTGGCGAAAAGATAACACCACTTCATGAACAAATTCGAGATTCCTCCTCAAGTAACCCAGGAAGATAGTCTGAAATTAATTATTTCACCTTCGCGCAAGTGGCCTTTTCACTGATAACTCGAAAGTTTCAAAATTCCTAATTAGATATTTATCAGTCAGCAACACCCATTAGAGATATGTATCGAAATCCACTGTAGTTTTATTTGGCTGCATTTTTGGACCACCATCAAGACAATGTCAAATACGGGTTTAAATCTCCTTTAAATATAAGTCACAAATAAACAATTCTAATGCCCAGAAAATCTGTTGAGAATCGTATATTGGACGGAATTATGCCGAGAATTATGTTACACAATAAAGTGAATCAAAGAATCCGTAGAATTATATAAACTTGGACAATTATGCACATCGGATGTGAAAGGGCAAAGCTCGGCTACAGCAACGCATCGACTACTATAAAACCTGGATACACCATAGAATAAATGAAACAATTAAACGGAACCACATACCTCACAAAAAGCAAGCTTTTTCTAAACGAAATAGAAAAATAAACATAAAATACCAGCGAAAAAAGGCATGATACACTTAGTGTATCACCTGATTTGATCGCAGATAACGCTGTTCAGTACACAACACATTCCCAATCGGGTGGCACAAAAAGAAATAAACGTAATGAAAAACATTAATGAGATAGATTGTATGAGAATGACACAAACCCAACTACAAACTGTCAGGACCTACCATACCAAAAGATATGACCAGATCGAGATCCTTTCAATGCAGTCGGTCATCGATTGAAAGTTGGCAACTTATCGAAAGAATATCCTGGACGGCCACAAAGCGTGCAGATAATGTAGTAGACATGATAAGATCCCGGAACAAAACAGAGGAAGCCGGCGAATAAGAACACCCAGCCTTGCGGTCCTAAAATTGAGCATGAAATAAAGAAAAGCAAGTAAAGAATATGCTAGCGCTTCTCAGGCTTAGAAGATAAGCAAGTGGGAGTTTTGTAGGGAAGGCGGAGTTCACATTGAAGAGCCCGTAAGAAATCAAGGACGAGGAAGCAAGCATGGCACATCCAGTAAGGGGGGGGGGGCATAAGGTGCAACATTCATATCGCATGAAGCACTTTTTTGGCGGATAGGGGAGCTCCAGGACGGGTGTCAAAGCTTAAGCGAATAGTTCATACCCGGATTCCCTCCCTTTCAAGAACAATGAATTCCGATACAGCAAGTTTTCGTACAGAACCGTGCACCCATTACTAGGTGAACCGCAATGCAAGTGTGTACGGGCAAATATGAGAACAGACCGGAAAAAATAGAACGCCTTCTTTGTCCGTGAAAAGGAGGCTGTCAGTGGCCCTCCAGGCCACTTGGGTCATATTCTTCGCTACGGAACACACAGGTCTCCACACCTTAGAGAAGCTCGCCTAACTTTCAAGCTTGGATATACCGTTTCTCTAAGACTACCGACCTTCTCTTGGAAATTCTTCAAGTTAATTTGGAGATGGCACACCGAGCACGCATGAAAGTATCTTTCAGGGTGTGCCAAGCTTTTTCAAAACGGTCTTTTGCATGATATAGAGGCACATGCGGGAACCACAGAACCATGGTTAAATTTTCCTGAACGGCCCTCTGAATACCAGAAAAGGGGGTCCCTAGTCACACCTTTTTCACCAGTTTTTCAATCAAAGTCTATTTGTAAGGGTTACTGACGTTCCTAATCATGAATATGGTACTAATTATTCATGCCTAAACACCCGCACTAACTCCATTTTTTTCGCGAATTTGGAAACGTCAACACGAAATGCAAAAACTTGTCACCACGAGGAATCGAACTAGGGACCCCTTTTCTGGTATTCAGAGGTTCAGGAAAAATGAACCATGCTTCTGTGGTCCCCATATGTGCCCCAATGTCATGCAAGAAACCATTTTGAAAAAGCTTGGCACACCCTGAACGACCTCCCTTGTAAGCAAAGGCAATCAAAACATAAAAAGACATTTCCATACTTTCTTAACTCCCTTCCTTGCAAAAACAAACGGCTCACCCATCCGGAGCATCCTCCCCTGCGAAAAATGGGACTTCTGTTGCCATGACGAAAAATTGCGCCGCGATGTCTCCCACCCTAACTATACTTGCGCCGGAGGTTTGTTTACGGAAAATATTCCACGAGAAAGATGACAAAAATAGCATAATTTGAACATGGAGACAAATGGAACAGAATCTTTATAGAGGACCAGAAGGATGCACTTTAGTGAATCAAAACACCAAAGCATCGTGTAAAGGCACCACTATTCTTTCTGAATCAAATTAACGATGACCATGGAGATCGCTCATAGCTACCTTAGGTATATGACCCATGACCCGGAATTCCTCTCAAGTAATGCAATCGACATTGCGTTGGGTTGGTATATGAGACAGCATGAGATTTATTGGTAAGGAGCATTCAAGATCCCAAAATAGATGTCTCGCAGAGTGAAGATGCATCTCAAGATTCTAGTGAGAAATGAAATCTCTCTAGAATCTTGAGATCTGCAAGTTTTCATCATAAAAAATCGGCTTTTCAGCACCGAAATGGCACGCAACCATGAAAGTTCTTGTGGAAAGCTATGAAACAGCAATTTAGCATTTTTTTTGTTATTAGACTGAATTACCAATACTGCCGGCCCCATCCCTTCCTTAGTTGTCGAAAAGTTGGGAACGATCAATTCCCCCAAAGTAGAAACCTGTTCTAAATGCGATTATGCTCGCAAGGTTTTCATGTGTCGGCAAAACACAAGGACAAGCACCTTGATACAGAGAAAATGATACACAGAGAAGAGACATTCACAAAAAGGAGAGCTGAAAAAGAGCGCTCATGAAAAGAAGAATCGACAACCCACCCTCATCAGGACGAAACATCACCATTGTTCCGACAACCAGCAGAACTGAAATAACACATGTACTTTTAAATAATTGCAGTAATGTCATGTTTCCTGCTAACATCCAAAAAAGTCTCCGGTGCGCAAAATTCCTCATCAGAGAAGGAGGCAATCAAAGAACAAATTCAAAACTAACTTGATCCGACTACGGTAAGCACTATTGAGCCTAATATAACTTTGACGTTCGACCGAATGTGAGGGTCGCTGCAGAGGCCTCTGAAATCAACTGAATTGTATTATTACGAATCGAGCCGTTATTCAAACATATGAAAAGTTGGAAAATAATCTCGATGAGCATCAAGAAAAAGTTTCTAAACTCACTTGGGCTTATTATTTTGCGGTCGACATTGTGTTGATGTATGTGTAGGACTTCCTCCAGGATACACACCTGCTCGTCCACGTTCTGCATCATCTTCATCTCCAGAGTCATTAGGATCTACTATTAGCTGGAAAAATAAGGAATGCAGACTATTCAAATGACCAGTAAGAGGAAAACTAATAAGGAGACATTGCTGAAAAGTTCTAAGAGAAAGAACAAAGAACTATTCAAAAGAAGAGAAGAACTTACATGCTGTCCTTGTGATACATTACGTTGGTGGCCCGGCAGCGTAGGCATTCTAAATGCTCATTAAATAGAAACAAAACATTAAATGCAGTTCTTTCTCGATGAATTGATCATATCAATTCTCTGAACAAGTAAATCAGCAGCAAGTGAGGTAATTCAATGCATAAATCCAATTCTCAGTGCATATGTGTAGCCTTTTGGTAATGTGATTCGCTAGGAATCAAGCGCATACCACTGCATATGTTTTGAGACGCTGAGCTCAGAACTGCGTTCCATATCTCCTGAACGATTCAAGTGGGACTGTGCACGTTTTCTGCACGTTCCGTCTTGCATGCTATCCCGGTAGGGTCGTTAGAAGACGAAGCGATTTTTTCCTCACTTTTCTTAGCGCGAATTCTCAGGTCCACTCACAATCAAACCCTGGAGTTCTCGCGGTGGAAAAAATTCGCGCAGCGGAAAGCGAGGGAGCTGCTTTCTGTCCTAGCGACTCACACCCTGCGATATTACCGGAAGTGGTTTAACATACTCGGACGCTCTTCGTACAAGCATCTATGTATAGCCATGCGTTCATGAAGTAAGGATGACAAAGCTTTCCAGCTACATTTCAAACAAGAGCAAAAGGGCAAAGCTGACAAGAATTCGAACCAACGACCTCCTGTCTCTGACCCCGCCCACAACCGTTGTGCTTTTCCGCTTCTTAACTCCGCTCAGTGAGTCTTTCAGTAGATGAAAAAACAGTTCTGGGCTCAGCGTTTCAAGGCAATACGCCTCCTTTGAATTAGTCAAATTGACCCTTTCTAGTCAGATCATATGAATGCATCTCCAAGCAGTGTCATGCATGAAATTGTTCAAATAGCTGCCTATACTCTGGTGACAAATGAAAATCACTCATAGACTGGCTCTAAGTTACTGAGAGAATAAAGCTTATCCCTTTCTGCAAGTGAAGCGCATCTTACATTATAGCAAATGAAACGCTATAATGAAAGGAAAGAATTGAAAGCGCAACACGCAGAGCTTGTACTCCCAAAAGCATGTCGGCTAATCGAAGAAATAAACGAACAAAAGATCGCCAGAGCTCACAGAATTTTGCAGTTCCCCATGCAGTTACTAGAAGAATGACGACAGAAACGAAATGCATTCATCAGGAAATGAGGATTACGGCGTGAAAGAAACGTGATTTGTAAATTTTATTTTTTCTGACTCATGTCGAGTATACCCCCATATATTCCATTTCTCTTTTTCAAGACTCCACCAATAGATAACTGAAAAACTGAGTATACGGACAGAAATGATTTTGAAGTTTCAAACAAGACAGTAATAGAAATGGGAAATGGACCAGGGCAACAACTGTGATGAGTTGACGTTCAGAAGTTCCAACGTGATAAGAAAGCCGTAAAATTCATCCTTAACTTGACAGTTTTCATTCAACAACTGTTAGGAACAAAAAAACTTTATTTCCAATGATTTTTCAGATCCACGTGCAAAGAAGAGAACCCTCAAGTTCAAGCTGTAACTCATCCAGGCAGTAA